CCATAGTTTTTCATACTTTTTACAAATTCATAACTTCCTTATTAGTCCCTAAGTATCCGATTTTACTCAATATTTTTTGCTCTGTTTCTCTTGTTTTTCTGCATCTATCAAAAGCAAATTATTTTTGGAGTGGACTTAGCCTTTAAGCTCGTATATGTGAAACAAGCCACTTTTATGTAGTTGATAGAGAATGTATGTGAAAAGGGTTTAACTACTCCGAACCCCCGACCGAGAAGAGACTGATAAGAGCTGTAGATAAGAGGGGTCGATGATCTGTATATTGACATAATGTAGTAATTGATTTATTGCAATGACGACCTTCGTCATTGCCTTGTTTTCGTTCACATTCTGCCCCATTAATATTCTCCTTTTCCTTGTTTTCCTTATCGTCAGGAAATCGCATTCGTTTTGCACGTAGTGCTTGTGATTCCTAGTTAAGTGCTTTTCTCATGTCCTTTTCCTTTCAAATTTCATAGGCATAGTCTCTAACATCTTATCAAGGTCACTACATTCTTCGATTTTCGAAATCACTCATGCATAACCGTCCGGGCGCCATTTTGTCCGTTTCTGGTCCATTTTAAGGCCTTTTTTCTTCCTTCCCATCTCCACTATCCTAGATCCTACAAACTTCTAACAAATTCCTCTAGATAGTGTAAGAGATGTTCTTTCATCTGCGACACATGACTTGACCTTCAAAATGCCATCTTCGTACTCAAAATTCAAATCTGAAACTGACTCCGTCAAAAATCTCTCAAATTTTTGAAAAATCAACCCTAAAAATCTGAAAGTGCCATAACTTTCTCATATAAATTCCGTTTCGTGTTTAAATCTCACATTATCCTTATCTCATAATTGCACATAGCCATGCCAAATTTCATGCTCCAATGACAATGCAAAACATAAATAGCTAGCGCCCTCTAAAGTTCTGGGAATTGGCCGCTTTCTTTCTGTGGCCGTATCTCCATAATGGCGTGGCAAACCCGTACCCTTTTTTGGATTTATATACCCTAACACTGACCGACTTTGCGAAAAATTCCCTCCAAATTCGCCATTTTCAAGAAAATTCCAAAATAACTTCAAATTGCTCTAAATTAGCAATCGTTATACCTACATCAATGAAACTTGGCAGATATATGTATCCATATACGTGATATGCCCTTTCTAGCCATATACAAAATTATATACCCTAACACTGACCGACTTTGCGAAAAATGCCCTCCAAATTCGCCATTTTCAAGAAAATTCCAAAATAACTTCAAATTGCTCTAAATTAGCGATCGTTATACCTACATCAATGAAACTTGGCAGACATATGTATCCATATACGTGACAACTGTCCGCCAAGTTTGGTAAAATTCGAGTATGTCAGCGCAAAGTTATCGCCAAAAATGATGAATTTACTATGCATTACGTAATAGCGCGTTTAAAGCGTGCAATACATTGCGCGAAAATAGCAATGGTGTCAAACTGACCGCAATGAAGTGCCCTTTCGAATGATACCAAGTATAGTATATGTTCACACAGAAAATTGTGAATAAATCGCATTTGAACAAAGGTCACTACACGAATTCCGCCGAGTTTCCGCCCGGATCTAACACGTATCGGCTATGACGTCATTTTTTCAGACTGCTTTTCGTATGGTGGCCCTGAAGGGACATCGCGAATAGACTAAATCGTGAAAAATATGCGATAAAATTCACGATATCGTCAATTTTATCGCATATTTTTCACGAAGAAATTCACGAAATTGACGATATCGTGAACTTTATCGTGAACTTTTCACGATGAAATTGACGATATCGTGAATTTTATCGTGAAAAGTTCACGAGTACACGATAGAGTACACGATAGAGTACACGATAAAATTGACGATATCGTGAACTTTATATCGTGAACTTTTCACGATAAAATTCACGATATCGTCAATTTCATCGTGAAAAGTTCACGATAAAGTTCACGATATCGTCAATTTCGTGAATTTCTTCGTGAAAAATATGCGATGAAATTGACGATATCGTGAATTTTATCGTGAAAAGTTCACGATATAAAGTTCACGATATCGTCAATTTTATCGTGTACTCTATCGTGTACTCTATCGTGTACTCTCCTGACGGGCGCTTCGTAAACAAAACCAGCCCTAGCTGGGGGAGACAGAGAGAAGGAAAAAAGGGAAAGGGAAAGAGAAGATGAAAGGAAAGAAAGAATAATAAGAAGAAAAGAGGGAAACGGGGGGGGGGGGCGAAGGGCTCTTGCCTCCTCCTCACTCCCCCCCCCCCCCTCCCCGCCAAAAAATAAATCAGAGAGAGAGAGAGAAGGGAAAGGGAAAGGGAAAGAGAAGATAAAAGGAAAGACAGAAGAGGAAGAAGAAGAAAAGAGGAAAACGGGGGAAGGGTGAAGGACTCTTACCCCCCCTCCCCCCCCCCCCCCCGCCAAAAAATAAATCAGAGAGAGAGAGAGAAGGGAAAGGGAAAGGGAAAGAGAAGATAAAAGGAAAGAAAGAAGAGGAAGAAGAAGAAAAGAGGGAAACGGGGGCAAAGGGCTTTTGCCTCGTCCCCCCGCCCCCGCCAAAAAATAAATAGGAGAGAGAGAGAGAAGGAAAGGGAAAGAGAAGAAAGAAAGAGAAAAACGAAAAAGAGGGAGAATAGGAAAGAAAGGAAAAGAAAGAAAAGAAAGGAGGCAAAAGCCCTTCGCCCCTGTTTCCCTTTTTTCTTATTCTTTTTCCTCTTCTTTCTTTCCTTTTATATTTTCTTTCCCTCTCCCTTCTCTTTCCCTTTATGGCGGGTGGGAGGAGCGGGAGGTAAGAGCCTTTCGCCCTTCCCCCGTTTCCCTCTTTCCGTCTTCTTCTTCTTTCTTTCCTTTTATATTTTCTTTCCCTTCTCTCTATCTCTCTCTCTCTCTCTCCTATTTATTTGTTGGCGCGGGAGGGGGGAGGTGGCAAGAGCCCCTCTTTTCTTCTTATTCTTCTTCCTTTCCTTTTTTATTCTCTTTCCCTTTCCCTTCTCTCTCTCTCTCTCTCTTATTTATTTTTTGGGCGGGGGGGATGCAAAAGCCCTTCGCCCCCGTTTCCCTCTTTTCTTCTTCTTCTTCCTCTTCTTTCTTTCCTTTTATCTTCTCTTTCCCTTTCCCTTTCCCTTCTCTCTCTATCTCTTATTTATTTTTTTGGCGGGGGGTGGGGAGGGAGGAGGCAAGAGCCCTTCGCCCTTCCCCTGTTTCCCTCTTATTCCTCTTCTTTCTTTCCCTTTCCCTTCTCTCTGTCTCTCTCTCTCTCTCTTATTTATTTTTTTGGCGGGGGGGGGGGAGGTAAGAGCCTTTCGCCCTTCCCCCGTTTCCCTCTTTCCTTCTTCCTCTTCTTTCTTTCCTTTTATATTTTCTTTCCCTTTCCCTTTCCCTTTCCCTTCTCTCTCTCCTTATTTATTTTTTGGCGGGGGGGGGGGGGGAGTGAAGAGGAGGCAAGAGCCCTTCGCCCCCCCCCCCCCGTTTCCCTCTTTTCTTCTTATTATTCTTTCTTTCCTTTTATCTTCTCTTTCCCTTTCCCTTTTTTTCCTTCTCTCTGTCTCCCCCAGCTAGGGCTGGTTTTGTTTACGAAGCGCCCGTCAGGAGAGTACACGATAGAGTACACGATAGAGTACACGATAGAGTACACGATAAAATTGACGATATCGTGAACTTTATATCGTGAACTTTTCACGATAAAATTCACGATATCGTCAATTTCATCGTGAAAAGTTCACGATAAAGTTCACGATATCGTCAATTTCGTGAATTTCTTCGTGAAAAATATGCGATAAAATTGACGATATCGTGAATTTTATCGCATATTTTTCACGATTTAGTCTATTCGCGATGTCCCTTCAGGGCTACCATATTTTCGCCCCTTAAACGTCTTTTTTTTTCCTTGAAAATTTGCAGTGACATGCCGAGTTCCAATACACAGGGCACCGCATGGCCCGATTTTTAAAATTGGTCAGTGGGGCCATTTAAGACGCCATTTTGTCCTATAAGTCTATTTTGCATCACGTCTTTCGATAGGATTGTCATAGAAAAAAAAAGTGATTTACAATAACAATCATGAAATTTTCTTTCTAATGATACCAAATTACGGCCCATAAAGAGACATAAAGAGAGAGAGAAAAAACAATTTAACTCCGGTCATAATACAGATCCTGTACGTTTTCCGCTCATACATTACAAGCATTGTCTATGGGGCATATCGGGTTCACCCTTTTGACCCCCAGAACGATCTTTATTGCAATGACGAACATGCACCAAATTCCCCTGGTTTTGGCAAGCAGTGCTTGCGAGCCCTATTTACGTTCTTTCCCCTACCCCAATTTCTTTCAAACTTCGTAGGCATAGTCACTACCATCCCATCAACGTCACTGTTGAGGCCTTTCTTTCGCCCTACATATCTCCAATATCACAGAAGGTACATATTTCGTACAAATTGCTCTGGATATATATAGTCCGAGAGAAGCTCTTTCGTTTGACACGTAGAAATATGGCGTCATTGCACGCACATCGTTGTGACACGATTGCATTTCTAGTTGAGTATTGGAACAAGCTTCCTCTCATGAAGATTTTGTCTTAACTTCAAGCTTCCAATAGTGCAATTGGAAACTGTCTTTGTTCCTAATGAGCTTACTACAATAATACCAAAGTTTTTTTTCTTCTGATGACCAGAATGCCATATACATGTATAGATAAGATGTCCCATATATACACTGAGCACTTGTTTTGCTTCTACTACTTCTACGACGTTGGGGCTGCTCTCGTGGAATGAGGTTATGTTGTGTTACCATTTCTTGAAGCAATCAAAACTTCCTTCACCCAATACGCAATTATGACCTTTGAAACTGCGCAGTGAGGTATCTTGTAACTTATGTCATGAAGTAGGCGTGTTTAATCTCTATGATCCACACAACACAGTTGTTTGTCGAAAGAGTACTCATCCAAGCATATTGTAACACCACAGTTCCCGTAACTCAAAGTTACAAAATAAATTATAAATTAGTAGGGAATTTGAAATTTGATGAGGTTAAGTAAGACTTTCTACTTAAATTTCCATCTTCTCATTTCATCATTTATTTCATTTAGATGGTATGACAAATTAACACAACGATGCCTGACGGTGAATCGAAGTTCATCAAGCAAGAGCCGTATTGTGATGATGTTGAAGATGGTGAGAGTCTAAAGCATCGTATGTCTGCACCATGCCAATCTGATTCAGCTCACAGCATCCAACTTTTAGATGAGGGAATCGCTCATAAGATGAAAGAAAGCCAACATAAAACACAGTATGTGGGGCATAAACCTCGATGGTGGAAGTATGTTGTGCTCTTCGGAACGTTTATTGATTTTCTGCTCGTATTTGGCTTCTTCAAAGGTATTGGTGTGTTCTTAGTGGAATGGCAGCAATACTATGACATTACCGCAGTAGAAGCCAGTACCATCACTATCGGAACGGCATTTGTTCTGCCTTTCACAAGTAAGGTTCCTAATTTTGTAGAAATTGAATGATAGACATAGACATATTGTATGTCCAATTTACACTATTGTTACCATTTGTGACCAACTTTTATGTTTCTGTTTGATTTATTTTGTTTGTTGTGTGTGTGTGTCTTTCTTTTAATGGAACGTTCGTTGTATGAATTTATTAAGCATTGTATGCAAGCTTATACATTTGATTATACCGTTTTGATAGATTTGTAATTCTATTGCCTGTCCCTGCGCTGTTGTATTACGGAAGTGAGCCAAACCACCAGGTTCATTTTTAAGCGCTTATAAACTTTGTATTAAGCGCTATATAAATGTAATTTAGTATTATTATTATTCATTATTACACCATCTGTTATTTTGTAAAACATACTCAATACTACAGTGCATCCCAGAAAAAACGAAACCGAGAAGTATCGATGTTTAATTAATCATAACTTAATCACAAGCATAATTAATGAATGATACATATTTGGAAAGTTTAGAGTCTCCTCTTTCAGTTGATGCTACTCACGTGATGCATATTTCACGCATGAGTGATTAAAAGCAATTTGAAGGAAGGAAACCAAAAATTAGTTTGGCGGGCGGTATCTGAATTTCAAAGAAAAATTTATATTTTTAGAAAGTTCATTTTCTGCTCTTTCATAATATATACCTGAATCAAGAAAAATGAGCCAGGAATAACAAAGTTCTGTTTGTTTAAAGTAGCCCTTACATTTTTATAATTTTAACAAACGAATTCGTTTTTACTGGGTGCCTGCCGTAGCAAAAAGCAGATTTGACAAAAGACAAAAGACTTAACTCCGTTTCGTTGACAATCAGCCATGAATGAAGACTCTCGTCTACGGCTGATTGTCAACGAAACGGAGTTAAGTCTTTTGTTAATTTCGTGAAAAGCACTACTTTAAACAAACAGAACTTTGTCGTTCCTCGCTCATTTTTCCTGATTGAGGTCATAATGAAAGGGCAGAAACTCAACTTTCTAGAAATGTGAATTTTTCTTCGAAATTCAGAAACCGCCCGCCAAATGTATTTTTGGTTTCCTTCCTTCAAATTGCTTTTAATCACTCTTGCGTGAAATATGCATTATCCGAGTAGCATCACATGAAAGAGGAGGCTCTAAGCTTTCCAAATAATATCATTCATTCATTATAGTTGAGATTAAGTTATGATAGAACATCGATACTTCTCGGTTTCGTTTTTTCTGGGACGCACTGTATAATAGATAGGTGTCCGGAATAAGCGGTTTGAATAACTATCCAACATGTACATTTATTTATATTTACCCAATATTTCAGTTTAACCAATGACTTAATACATTATTCGCAGGCAAAGGCAATAGAGTATATTTATTACCTTACCAGGTACTAGCAGTTTTATAAGCATAATTTTATGTAGAGAACCAAGCAAAAGCAATTATAGCTCCATGTATATATACACTTGGAGATGTGTACAATTTTTTTAATTGTATATATATGTGTTTGTTGATTTGTGATTACGTGTATGACATGACAACTATACATCCATACATTGGATTGATATACAGTTTAACCAATCAGAACGCAGGAAACCGTATATCCATACAACCATCCATCCATACATCAGTTTCTATATGCAACCATACAGTAAGTTATAGAACGCATGAAAAGTCGTTACGTTTGCGGGCCGAAATGCCATAATTGCAACAACCATGCATCCTTTGAGCTATGAGTGGATGTATTGTTTTAACCAATCACAAATGCAGGAAACTATACAGCCATGGCGGCGAAAATGTCTATAGAGTTTAATGGCGGCATAGTTTTAATCAATGTTATATACCTCACTTAAGAAATACTTCCATCTGATTGGTCGAAATTGCAGTCATGGTTTTAGCCATTCCCGTAAAAAATGCCAAACCCATGTAATAGTTCTAGGGTAAATCGGTAAAATCCCGGCAAAATTCCAGTTACCATGGTTACCGGAATAATAGTTCAGTCTTGCTGAAATACCCATTGGTTCACATGTTAAAATGTGGTTTGAGCGATCGCGCAGACGACCGCACGTCAATCTCGATCGTACTAAATTTTGTAGGCTAGGGCTAGGCTAGGCATAGAATTCCAAACAAGGCAAAAATGGCTGAAGAAACTCTCCCAAGATTTCAAATTCTTGATGATGATCAAATGCAAGGCTTGATTAATTCTGCTGACAGCAAGAACACCAAAAATTCTGTGAAATTCTCCATGAAAATATTCGAAGACTTCCTGCAAGTTATCAACACAGACCTCGATAGCGTAAACAAACTTTCAAATTCGGAGCTGGACAATGTACTCCAAAAGTTTGACGCTGGTGCTAGACGGAAGAACGGATCCGGCTTTTTACATGAAGAAGTCAATGTTAGCTATTAGATTCGGACTTCAGCGTGATTTCCTCAATTGTAACAATGTTGATATCATCAAGCATGAAGATTTTTCAAACTCGACGAGAGTTTTTAAGTGTTTTTCAGCAATGCTTAAACAGGAAGGAAAGGGACTTGTAACTCACAAACCAGCTATCTCAGCAGAAGACATGGACAAAATCCAAGGTTCGCTTGATTTGGACGATCCTGTGAGTCTTCAGGACAAGGTATTTACAGACGTAATGTTGTACTTTTGCAATCGGGGTAGAGAGAATTTGCGTGAAATGACACTCGACAGCTTTGACATTTATGACAAAGGGGGAAATATAATGCTCTATAACTCTGAAGATACACTCACAAAAAACAACCGTGCAGATAAACTAGAGAAAAGCCAAGGTGGTGTCATGATTCCAGTCCTGTTGCCTCCTTCTTACGCTACAAAGATAAATTGAATCCACAATGTAAGAGCTTTTGGCAGAGTCCGGCAAATGCAAAGGCCAAGCGTGAGTTGAAGTTCAATCCATCTTCTTCTGATCAATGGTAGTATAATGCATCCCAATAATAGCCCAATTGTAACCTTCCCGAGAGCGTATAAAAACAACTATTTCTCAAATATTAAAGCAGTCATTTATTTAGCAGGCGCATTTATACTGTCAAATACCTCATTTTGAAAAGTCGCGATGTTTGCGCACCCGTTTACACTTGTGCGGAAACATCACCGACTGAAAAGCTCAGTGATGTTTTGGCGTGTTTTAGTTGGTAATGCGCATGCGCGGCACTCCGATGCAAAAACTTCCCTCTTTCTGTCTTTCCTTATGTTATTCTTTGTTTTTCCTTTTATCACCTTCTCTTATGTTATTCTTTGTTTTTTAATCATTCTATCACTTTCTCTTTCTGTGTTTCCTTTTGTTATTCTTTGTTTCTTCCCTCTATCACCTTCTATTATGTTATTCTTTGTTTACATCGTTCTATCATTAGTGACTTTTAGATTCGCACGAAGACAAAGGAGATTGCTACGGTCGACATCCTTTTAATGCACTGTGTTGAATGGACGTCACAAGTATCAGTCCACGCAAATCTAAAAGTCCCTATTTTCTTCAAGGACGACAGCTAGCTCCACTCCTACAGTCACGTGACCTAACATCGCGATGTTACAACTGCGAGCGTTCATACTTGCCAAAAACGCCAAAAGATCACACTTCGTTTTGGAATGTTTCGGGCTTGGCATTTCTGACAGAAAAGCGTAGTTGCCCTTGGTAACATCGCGGTCAGGCTCCGGTTTGGCATTTTTTGGCGTGTTTGGAAGACAGTGTAAATGCCCCCAATTAATACTTTTATATGCCGAAAAAAGAGTCAACTTACTAATCAACTGGTAGAACAGGAAGAGCAGAAATAAATAGCTGAATAACGCGTTGAATAACAGTAACAGTAGAACTCCATAAAAACTCCGTAACTCCGTAAAAACTCCGTAACTCCGTAAAAAATAACCCCGTAAAACTCTGTAACTCTGACACGCCTCGGGCAATAGCAATATTGTAACCTCCCCGTGAGCGTATAAAAACAACTATTTCTCTCAAAGCAGTCATTAATACTATAATAATGCAGGAAACTATACATCCATAATAGCTCAATGGATGTATGGTTATACAGTAGGTTTGCGGGTGCACCATGTGAGAGAGAGAGAGAGAGAGAGAGAGGGAGGATTGAGGAGTCCTGAAAAGGACTCTGACTCGGTATTCTTTCTTGGGGGTGTGAAGTCCTGAAAAGGACTGTTATCTTTCTTAGCTTATAGTTCTAAGGAGAACTATAGCGCTTGGAGAGGATGAGTGGCTCGACGTTTTGAACAGGTTGACTATCCGTCGTCAGGTGTGGAGAATAGGGACTTTAAGATTCGCACGAAGACAATGTGGATTGCTATGGTCGACGTCCTTTTAATGCACTGCCTTGAAAGGACGTCACACTTATCAGTCCAAGCAAATCTAAAAGTTCCTAATAGCTGGCGTGTGTGAACTTAAGACACCGGGGTGCGGACGTCGGGGAAAAATAGGTGACCGTATGGTTGTTTGCAATTATTGCATTTCGGCCCGCAAACGTAATAACTTTACATGGTGGTGGTGATTATTTTACCTGACTGCTAAGAAAGTATGAATGCTTGTTAGTAAGCAACCAGAGGACCGACGGCTTTAGGTCCTCTCCGAGAAACCTGGTAATGAGGATTAATTAATATTGCCTTAAAAAGGGCACTAGCGCATCGCCTTGGTTTCAAAGCCGGGTCGCCGGATTACGAGACCACTGCTCTACCAACTGAGCTATCGCGCCTCTTGCGCCTCTCATGCGTTCTATAACTGCATGTATGGTTATATCATAATAATAATAATAATTATAAATTTATATAGCGCAGCTTTTATACAAATATTCGGCTGCGCTGATTAAGAGCTCCTTTTTACTAAATTCCACAAAATAGATTTCTCAGTTGAACAAATAAGTTTTTAAATTGGATTTAAAAACATTTAGAGATGAGTGCTTCGTATTTCTATTGGCAAGCTATTCCATAGTTTTGGGGCAGCAATAGCACAAAAAACAAAAGCACGGTCCCCAAGAGTTACTTTAGTTTTGCCATGGGGAATCTGAAACAATAGATGTATCGATGGATGAATGGTTATATGGATGTAGGGTTTCCTGCGTTCTGATTGGTTAAAACCGTACATCCATCCGATGGATCTATGGCTGTATAGTTGTCATGTTTATGGCGCGTTACGCCCGTCATACACGTGTAGGTCCTCTTGTGTTTCTAAAGAAACTTGCTTGAGGTACCAACAGTAACTCAAAAATGTATGGTTCTCCTTTTGTTTTTACAGCACCCATAGGGGGAGCACTGTGCCAGCGTTATGGATGTAGACCTGTTGCTGTCACTGGAGCATTGATTGCATCTAGTGCCACTTTAGTGGCTGCCTTCAGTCCAAATGTACCTGTCTTGATCTTCATGTTGTGTATATGTGGTAAGTGTAACCCTCAAACCCTTGTCATATGCCGAAAGGGTGCGGTCCGTCGCGATGTGGTGTGGTGCGTTCAACCGTGGTTCGACGCACCCTTTCGAGAAAGCCTCCTCCCCCCTCCCTTGTCTCGAAAGGGTGCGTTGAGAACGGAGTACCATATCCAACCCAAAGAGAAAACTACGTCTCTAAAAGAAAACAGAAAAATAAGAGAAGCAAACTGATGAAAGTTTCAATAAAATCTGACTAAATATAAGAAAGTTATGATTTCTTGAAAGTTGTAATCACCATACGTATGGGCACTTCAAATTGGCTAAAGCGGTAATGGCAACGTGAATTAGTGCCGGACTACTTTCCCATCTGTTCTAACATATAAAATGGCTACATTCCTTCTTCTAAAATTCCTGGCTCAGGAGGGGTCTATTCATTTTAAAGGACCTATAATAATAAGCTATCTATAATATATTAAGAGTAGTGCCCCCAGGGAGAAGGAACTAACGAGAAAAACAGCAAAAAATTAAGTAGTCTTGCTGATCAGGCGATTATAAGACTTAAATCAATAGCTAACATGAAACACACCCTTTTCAACCCCCCCCCCCCCCCAGCTTATCCTGATCGGGTGCGTTAAGTCGGTACTCCGTTCTCAATGCATCCTTTCGAGACAAGCGGAGGGGCTTTTCTCGACCACACTGCACCTCACCATTGACCTAAGCCCAACCCCTCTGCCTTACCCCCTCCCCTCAGCTGCTTCCATTCTCTCTTTCTACTAGCCCATTCAATGGTTAAAATTAAAGCCCGTGTTAAGTTATTTTAATGGAATTAAATGGGAGGATCTATACATTTATTTGGTTGACCCTTTCTTTGAAACATTGAAAACATAAAAGAAACAATTAAACACCCCTAAAAAATCTAACATGAACAAGCATGCACAGGCACCATGAGCTATAATAAATGTTATGTTTCGTCTTTTTTGTTTTAGGTGTGGGATTGAGTATGACATTTGCCCCATGTCCTGCCATACTTGGCTTCTACTTTGGTCGCCATCTTGGGTTTGCAAGTGGCATCATGATGTCTGGTGTAGGAGCCGGTATCCTGATCATACCTCCAATGATGCAAGCGCTGTGCAACACGTATGGCTGGCAGGGAGCATTCCTCATATTCTCAGCCATCTTTGCTAATGCGGTATTATGTGGAATGGTGTATCGTCCAACACCTGCGGAAAGATTCAATATTGACAAGCTCCGGGCCGCACATTCCCAGGCTCAATCGAGTGGATTTCATCTAGAGAAAAGCAGTTTCTCGGATCAGGACAAAAACATGCAGGATGTTTCAGATCATTGCAATGTCAAGACAAATGGCGTGAATCCCAAAGGCCAAGGTCCCACCGTGACAAATAAATTCGTGCAGCTTATCCGATTCTTCCATTTTCAACTCCTCTGGTCCGACCGACTTGTAACATTGTTCTTTACAAGTATCTTATTTGTGTCATTTGGATACTACTCTTCACTGGTTTACTTAACCCCAAGGGCAGTAAATGATCTAGGCATTGCAAAGCAAGACGCATCCTATATTTTGTCAACGATGGGAATTAGCAGTATGGTTAGCAGGGTCACCCATGGTCCCCTCCTGGACAGAAAAATAATTTCAGTTTTTCACCTGGCTCCCATTTCTCTGACCATCAGTGGCCTAAGTTCACTCCTCAATCCCCTGGCGAACTCTTACATCCTGCAGCACCTTCTTGCCATCTCCTTTGGGATTGGAAGTGGAGCATTCAATGGCATGGCCCCCATGTTAATACGTACCTTGGTGGATTCCTCAGTCGTATCCAGTGCCTTTGGACTGTACGTCATGACCACTGCATTCGGAAACCTCATCGGTACTTTTACACTAGGTAAGTTGGAAATTATAAAAGAAGGTGCAAATTATGTTGGAAAACTCAGTTGTAACAAGCACAGGGTTATAGAAGCAAGTTTTTTACGAGGGGGTAATGGTGGTTGTCGGTAATTCTCGATATCGCCATTATATTGACAAACCTGTATGTTACGTTCAGTCACCGTTTCAAATGCAACGGCAGATTTGGTCCTGGTGTAATGATATGATCATGCGTACCCTAACAGAAAGCAAATTGAGACCTGATTATGACTTATAAGTTATAATAAGATTAAATTAGCATTGAATATTTTCCATGCATATGAAAATAAAATTAGATGATTCTGGTTCACAACAAATGGATGAAAAGCACCTTTAAAAAAAAAGGGGGGGGGGGGTGTTGCACTGATGAAATCTGACTCGAGATTTTGTCGACTGTACAATCTTGCTAGTCACGGTGATTGTATGTACGTTGTGTCTATGATGAGTGGCTATGACGAGTTTCTCTGATGAGTGGCTATGACGAGTTTCTCTGATGAGTGGCTATGACGAGTTTCTCTGAAGAGTGGCTATGACGAGTTTCTCTGATGAGTGGCTACGACGAGTCTATGCCGCGTGTCCATGCGATGTGGCTACGATCACTGGCATCAAACGATGACTCAGAGATGTAGCTGCGAGGGGTGGCTACGAGGTGTAGCTTCGAGGAGTGGCTATGAAAACCAGGTTAAAAGAGTGGCTAAACAAGCCCAGCTCGTCCGTAATGAGGAGGGATAATTTCAAACAACTTTATTAAGATTGCACTTTTAAATGTGCATAATAAATAAAAGGGAAAGCTCAGTAATCACCTGAATTATTTCCTTAATAATTCTCAAAGAACGTATCTGATAGACTTCCCACAAATAACAATTACACAAAGAAAGAGATTGTTTAAATTTACAGTTGATGTGAATGAATTGAGTCATGGAGGCTTCTTCTGGCCTGAAATGCAAGAGCTGTAGTTAAGAAAAGCACTGTTAGGCCTGCATCACCTAACAGAACAGAACATGCACAAGGAAGGTGCCTTCTCCTTGGTGCCTCCAACAACTGACTCTCAATCAGTTAGTAGGGTTCCCACTTAGCCGCGTTGTGTTGGCGAGTTGTAGCGAGTTGCATGCCTCAAATAACTCGCGAAAAGCTCTTCTTGTAAATAGGGATAACTCGTGACAACTCGGCATGGCTCGGCGTAACTCGTTACAACTCTCCACGACTCTCCTCAAAGTCTCGAGCAGTTCTAAATTGTGTTAACATGTTCAACATTTTCACTGACTCGTTGTAACTCGAGGTAAACACGCTTACACGCTTAAGCAGGGCTCCCACTTAGCCGAGTTGGAACCTCGAGTTGTGGCGAGCTGGCGCGATCTTATGGCAAGCCGTTTTTATTATTATTTGATATCAATAAATCAATTCTTGTTATCTAGAAATAATTTTATGTTGTAAAGCAATAATAATTCTTGATATCAAGAATTCGATTTAGTGATATCAGGAATTCGATTTCGTGATATTAGGAATTGAATTCTTGATATCAAGACATACGTTTTAATGATAAAACTGCTTGCCATAAGATCGCGGCAGCTCGCCACAACTCGAGGCTCCAACTCGGCTAAGTGGGAGCCCTGCTTTACACTCTTAATATACTTGCATTACTCGTAACAAGCTCGCGCTGCACTCTTCATAACCCGTAGCAACTCGCCACCTCGCCACGAATTTCGAAAAGTTTCGTATAAGCATGAACAGAGTGCAGGGCGAGCATGACGAGCGCACCACGATGCGTCAGCTGGCCTACAAAAACGCAGTGATTTTCCATTTCTCAGAAGTATTCTTAAGATGAAACGCATAATGTATTTAACCCAAAGAAAAGGCATCTTCTGGGAAAAGGGCACCTACAAAGGGTAAATCTCGAAATAATCTAAAAAATATACACATTTTTTAGACATTGGTATATACCCCTACATTGTCATTACATTATCAGAGATGATTTAAATTTTTGTTTCTCTTTATACATCATACGAGATATTGATTTACCATTACACTTTGCAGTTGGGTGTAATGGTCTCATTATTCATTTGCGGGCTAGGAAAATTTTATTTGTGAGGTCGCACCGTCGCAGTGCGAAAAAATGACATCTTATAAAGAGGAATAAACCTTATTCTCAAAAAAAGAAGCCTGACAAGACCTTTGATAAGTAATTATAAGTAATTATATCAACTATAATGCGAGCAACCATTGGGGGGAAATTACTCTTACTCGCTTTAATTGTAATACCAAGTTTGGTATGGGGTTATGAATTTTATGTTCAGTCAACTTTGCAATTTTACAATATTCAGTGATCGTTGTCGCGGTTGAAATCGAGTTTAAAGTGATTAAATTGTAAATAATAAACTCTTTATGTTGTATAGCTCCCTCTCAAGGCTGATATTACTTTAGCTTTAAAACACTGCTTCTAGACTACAATCGACCGATTTGCTATTCCCGTTTCAAAATAATATATCAGAACTGCATGTTCTGAGATTTTCATTGTCGCAGCTACTACGAAATTGCCTTAGGCGCTATTTGAAATATTTGAAAATATATTTAATTCGAAAAGAAAAGGAGCACGTGTTAAAGGGAAAGTCCACCCCCAAAATAAGTTTGTTTTGATAGAGGCAGAATAATAAGAAAATCAGGTGAGTGAAAATTTGAGCAAATTCTGAATGAAAATAAGAAAGTTATGAATTATTGAAGTTGTGATCAATCAAATACAAATTGGCAACTCTGTGACTTATTATACGAGCTCTCCTTCATTTGCTTTGTGCATAATATTCCATAAAATCATGTTTTCTTCGTTATTGATGACGGAATATATATTTGTTCCTTGCAGGGGGAGTATAGAAACATATTTGCAATTATTATATTTAGGGTGCATGTATGGTTGAAATTTTTCTTGAGGGAAAATGAAAATTGTAGATTTTTTTAGTACTGAGCAAATGGAAGTTGAGCTCGCATGATACGTCATAGAGTTGCCAATTTGTGTTTCATTGATCACAACTTCAAAAATCCTAACTTCCTTATTTTTAATCGGAATTTGCTCAAACTTTCACTGACTTGTTTCTCTCATTTTTCTACTCCTATTAAAACTAACTTAATTTCAGGGTGGACTTCCCCTTTAAAGTGAAAAGGGTAGTTAGCAGATGCGAAAATGGGGCACTTCTTAAACCTGAAAAGATGTACTCACCAGGGATGAAAAAGGCACTTGTGAGAATGGGAAATGGGTATTAGTCAACGGAAAAGGGGCACCAATCAAATTTTAATAGGGGCATTTATAAAAGGTGAACTTTTGTGAAAAAGGGGGGAAATCTTTTATTTGTCAGGAATTCTTTTGTCCATATAATCATCTGCAGAGAACTAACATAGCATTCATTTAATTCAAGTAACACAGAATGTTTATCCATACATGTGTATGTCTCTTAACTGATGAAATGAAAACAAATCTTTGTTCTTTGTCAATGGAGTTGATATTGTTAGCTTTGCTTAGCTTGTTTTATCATATGTAGTAACATGTACAAGGGCTTCTGTTTAACTTGCTTGCTAGCAGCCAAATAGAATCTCACTATGGAAGACATGAGAATTAAATTGCTATTTGTTGTAGATGTTTGATATTCGTGTTGCAAGAATATTCCTGATAGAGACTTAGTAGTGTGGTATTGCCGAGTAGTGATAGCGGCTTGCTTTGAAATCCATTTCATGTTTCTATTATGTATACACAGCAAATAATAATTGTACTCCCTATTTTATGATCAGTCCAAAGTTTGATGCATGATGTGTTCAAATAGAAATAATGCTTTCTTCATAACACATTTTTGGATCATAAATTACCAAGACAAAGCTTAAATGTTTGTACAAATATATTTTATACTACACAAACACCAGGGTATTACACAGTTTCAAACTGCTCAAAGAATTTCAAGGGTCATGTGGGTGTCCTGGTTTTACCGTGAACTCTAGTTATTTAAATAATGATGCTTTTGGTGGGGAGGTTACTTGTGAAAACTATGCATGTGAAACATGATTTTGTTCTTTATTTTATCTTAAATTACCACCCCTTCCCCCTCTCTTTCTGTATGTATGTGCTTTCTCTCTCTCCCTCTCTCTCTCTTTCTCTTTATCTCCCTCCTTCTCTCTTTCTCTCTCTCTCTCTTTCTCTCTCTCTCTCTCTCTCTCTCTTTCTCTCTCTCTCTCTCTTTCTCTTGATCTCCCTCCTCTCTCTCTTTCTCTCTCTCTCTTTCTCTCTCTCTTTCTCTCTCTCTCTCTCTCTCTGTCTATCCCTGCATTGTAGGAGCTCTGTATGATGCCACTGGGACCTATCACTCTTCTTTTTACATTGCCGGCGCTTCCACTTCCATGGGTGTCTTCCTCTTCGTGATCCAGGCTCTTCTCAAAAGGAATGAATCATCCAAGAGCGGCAAAGACAGAAGATATCAGGAAGTCACCTGTGAGGGGGTGGATGAACTTGGGAAAACTACATCTGCTGTTTAGAGACATGGCAATTCACAGAGACATTTCTTGCAGGAAAACAATACTGCACAGATTATTGTAGAAGGCATAAAGTCCTATAAGTCTAGGTGTTGGTATACTTGGGTATCACTGTAGTCAATACATAGAGAATAACAATATTGTAAAGCCTCAATCTTTTCACGGCAAGAAACAAATCACAATTTTTCAGTATTTCGTGATTTTTTATTCACTTATTTTGCGGAATGAAACACACAATTTTGACCTCTTGAGTAATTGACAAATATTTGCTTTTATGACATTGGAAGTTTCTGGTTTTACTTTGTGAGAAATATAGTGAGAAGGATGAAATTATATGTGTTTTAAGAATGTTTCAAATTGGTGTATAAGCTGCAATCTTCGTTCTAATGCAAATGAATTGTGGAGGATTTCTTAATATTTAATGTGGAGTTATATCTAAAGACACAGTCACAGTAATTCATTTACATGTATTATTTATACTGCTATGTGTGCTTAAACATACTGCAAAATAAAGATTTATTAACAGGGATATCAGTTTCCAGACTATTGCATAGTTTTACTCCCTATGACACCTTACCATTTAAGTAAACGCGTCCAATTGCTCTGCATTTTCTTTCAGCGCTAGTGAGTAAAACAGATTTTCTAGCTGTATGATTAAGTTCCATTTTTATGTGCAACATCTGTCCTTCCGTTGTATGGTAAACATGCTATATGATTAAGTTTCATTTTTATGTGCAACATCTGTCATTCCATTGTATGGTAAATGAGTACATTACATCTGTGTGTGTGTGTGTGTGTGTGCGTGCGTGTGCGTGTGTGTGTGTGTGTAACTGGATTTTTACAGACGTGTATCAATCAGATACGATTATTTAAATGTACGTCTGGGGACCGACATTTAACGTCACCATCCGAAAGACGTGACTCAGTTTCGAAACTGCGTCCTCGGCTAAATCAATTTGTTACTTCCATTGTTTCTTGGCAATGTTTTATTCTCCACTGTTCGTGAGGATATAAAAATAGAATATATTGTACAATTAAAACAGTATTAGCAAGTCGTATAGCATTAGCAAGTTATGCACCTGTGTATAAAGTATTAGTGTCCCTAGGGTTGCATACAACTATGTAGAACATAGTGATTACTCTCTGCATTCTTGCAAGTGGCTCAAATTATTTTGTTCATTGAATTTAAAATATTTGTTCAGAAAAGTAAGTCCTACCAGCTCTCTAAGCTTCTTGTTCCTACGTATAAAACATCAATTGTACTTCTGTGCGTCATATGGCGTATGGTATGTCAGCTACTTTTCATAATTCATTATGGGCATCAGAAGGCATGTGTGATATAGGGTTGTCTATAACAATTTAAATGTCAGTCATGCATCCAAGAAATTGTATACAGCTTTGAATTTAAGAGTTAACGACTTATTAATGTTTACGGACTGTATTTCTATAGTTCAGTTAGTCTATGATGAGAAAAAAAGGCCCGGTGTTGTTAAAAATTGTATTCAGAGTTCTTAGAATACAGAATGTTGCTGCTCGTGAAAGATCATTAATTTCTTCTTATATCATGTAGCTCCAGGTGGTTACGCAGGGAGGGGGGGGGGTGTATTGGGGGTTAACCCCCCCCCTCAATTTTTTTTCGTTAATTTTTCAAATTTCGGGGAACAAAAAACAAAAGAATATTGCTCACTACCCCCCCCCCTCCCCCACCCACTGAGCGTAATTTATGTCGGTGCGATTTCCAAATTTCGGGGAGCAAACCAAATTATTGCTCACTACCCCCCACTGAGCGATATTTCGGTCAGCGCGATTTTCCAATTTTCAAACACCCTCCTTGAAAAAATCCTGCGTACGCCACTGTGTGGCTCATTCCAAATAGGTGAGTATATTAGCAATATCACTCCTAAATGGACACCTTTCTACTGGGAACACAACATTCTATGTTCAGATGTTATTTGTATGCTTGTAATGCCTAGTATGTTTTAACCAAATTGATGAGAGCAGCTTTCCTAAATTGTGTATTTTCAATTCAATTCAATTGAAGAATCTATTTAGAATGTAAATGTGAAATGTAAAATGCAGAGATATTATATCTTTTTGGAAATTATATTATTCATTCTTTTAAGTCAAATATAGATTTATGCGTGATATTTTTGTATTGATTGACATGATAGACTTATACATTATATATTATAGATATTGTTCAAATGATGCATGCTCCAGAAATAAATATGACAAAATATATGAACGCAAATTTAGAATTTTCCGAGTGACATTATATTTCACCGAGGCCGTAGGCACAAGGGCAATTCTGAATTTGGAAATGAATATTGTATAATCTTCTATGAAACAACAACATGGATGCATGCAATATTTATTACATAACATTCAAGGTAAACGCGACCTTCTGGCTTGATCCTTTTGAGTCGGACCTCTTTCCATAAGGGAAATTACCTGTTTTGCCACCTCCAAAAGATCCCTCAAAACTAACCTTTTCCCCGATGATCTATGTGATATAATTCCTGTACTGTACATTTTTGTCCTCTTTTCATATATTTGTATATGTAAGTACGTTGGTACTTATTGTTTTTAGCGCTGCTAAATATTCGATATTATTATTATTATTATTAATATTATTACATTTAGATTGCCTTAGCACTAAGATGCGCGCAGCTAAGACAGGGGAAACAATTATGAATATGCTTCTTTAAATACTATAATCCTTGGGTGATATTTTATGGCTGGCTGCACAGGGGTCGCTTTAAGTAACTTGGTAAAAACCCACTGGCACCAACTCCAAATAGGTTTCTCAGCAATTAGAAATCCATTGAATGGCCAACTTATGGCAAATGATAATTTAAGCACTGCTTTTCACTGACACCAACATTGGTTAGACTTGTCCCAGTGGTCATTCCAGAATAGGATTTCTCATCTGGACATGAATCTGTATCCTCTAAACCTCTCTTATGTTTCTTGCATCTCGTAAGACCACCAAGCATCCCCGCAGATGTCTTTGTCCTGGATGAAGCGTGGTTTTGCTGTGATGATTCAATCACCACATTATGAACCGCATGGTCATCCCTATTAGAAGATAAACAATGAAATTTAACCTGAACATGATTTGGTAAACAATTTTGATAGATTTTTTCTTGCTTGTTGTTTCATCTCCTATTCCCCCTTTCATTTTGTGCCAGTGGGTTTCGCTCGTGTTCCTTAGCTTGACCACTGTGCTCTGCCAACCATGGCTCAAAAGAAACGGAGCACCGAACTATACAAATACATGTTACACGTGTCAATATTAACACTTCAATCTTAAAACAATGGGGAATGTGAAAGTGTCAAGGTTTTTTTCTTTCTGACCCACAATGTATATAGAGAGTCCAATAATTTTTATGAAATGCCTTTTTTTTTTATATGTGAAAGCAAAAATGATGTGCTTGGTTTGCAAATAACGTAGCAATCATATACCATGGGCGGTGGAGCGACTTCCAAAGTGGGGGGGGGGCATCAACAAAAAAGGGCACTTTCTGGTTAAAAAGGGTACCTGGAAAGGGCAATCTCATGGTCAAAATATACAATTTTTTAATATTGGTATATACCCCTACATTGTGATTAAATTATCTGGGATGATTTTTAATATTTGTTTCTCTTTTACATCATACAATATACTTTGCAGTCGGATGTGATGGTCTGCATGTTCATTTGCGAGCGAGCGAAGCGAGCAAGGAAACATATTAGATTTATGAGGTCGCAGTGCGAAAAATTAAATCTTATAAAGAGGAGGGAAACCCAATCGTGATGGGGCATATTCTCATAACGGAATACTGAAAAGACCTTTATATTAATAATTGTATCATCTATAAATGCGAGCGAGTTTGGGGGAAATTGCTCTTAGTCGCTTTTAATTAGAGACACATTCAATGATGAGAGGAACATGGGACACTTATCAAAAGGGATAGGTCCCTCATTAGAAGGTAGAAGGGGCTCGTATCATTGTTGAAAAGGAAATTATCGGAGGTGAAAGGGGGCACTGACCAAATTTGAAAAGGGGCACTTATGAGAAGGAAAGGGGCACTTATGAGAATAAAAGAGGGGCACTTAAATTGAAGGGAGATGTGCATTTGTTGGAAGAAAAGGGGCTCTGATCCAAATTTAATAGGGGCATTCATCGGAGGTGTAAGGGAGCTTTTGTGAGAAGGGGGAATGGCTCTTATTAAAAAGAAAAAGAAAAAGAGGTACATGTTAAAATAAATGGGGCACTTATCAGAGATGAAAAGGGGTAGTTATGAGAAGGGGAAGGGGCACTTGTCAGGGACTATGCACTAAGTGTGTGTGTGTGTGTGTGTGTGTTTGCGCGCGTGTGTGTATTTGTGTGGGTAGGGTTCCGTGACTCCGTCCAATATATACCATGCTCCCCTTCTTCCATTCCCCTTTCTATTTATTTTACCAATTCTAGTTCTGAAAACACATTAAACAAGAGGACGAGTCATGTTAGAGGTAAGACCAGAGTAGAGATAATTGAAGTTCACAGGGCCAACGTATTCTCAGGAAACTATAGATGCCCGGAAAAGGATGTGCGAAGTAATCCACCTTTTCCTATGTCTTTTATTACTTCTGGTAAGCGGTGATCTCGTTATTGTCTTCTTTTTATGGACCAGATATACCAAGTCGATTAGGTTTAGGCCTTTAAAGGGAAATTAGACCTACAGTAGTATATCGCTAAAAGACATAGAGACTATAATTTTAATCAATGTTTATGAATACCTACACTCGAGCTGGGGGTGTTTCACAAAGATTCTAAGTTGAACTTATCTCTAAGTTGGACTTAAAAATTATGGAAAGCCGTTAGCATCTTTGAAAATGTTTTGTAAAAGTTATTTTGAAAGGCATAAAATGTTGATTCAAATCATTCATATTTTCTATCATCAAGGAGATTTCATGTTCTTGGTGTGGAAGTTATAAAAAATTCTAAAATACTTGAATTTATTCTTTTGAATATATTTCATTTTAAGGCTCCAATGGCTGTCCATAATTTTTAAGTCCAACTTAGTGTTAAGTTGTACTTAGGATCTTTGTGAAACACCCCCCAGGAGTATTAAATAAAGCAAGTATTAGGTTGACTATAATATTGATTCGGTTTGTGACGTATGAGGGTCAATTTGGGATTCGCTTAGAAATCTGACGAGCTACGCCAAGTAGCTAAAACGTTATTTTAGTATAGCGCCACCACTCGTCACTCGAAACACATTGACTAATGGATGAATAGAAGCATTTGAAGAGAATTATTTCAAGAAATCCAGAAATTGAATTATGAATGACAAATGTTCACAAGGAGTGGTTAAAAGAAAATGAAAACACAACTACTCGAAAAGGAAAATTAAAGATGACTTCCATGGGGATGGATATTGCGATGACGTAGGTAGATATGCCTCCATTATGGACTACGGAATAACAAGTGGAAAATGTACTCCTAGAATAATGAATTTAAAAAAAGCTAGAGAGAAAAAGGAATTAATAAGAAGTAGTATAATAAGAGAATGAGGGATGGATTTGTAACATACTGTCAACCACACTCCAGTTGTAAATGAACTCAAAAGAGAAAACTCTCAGTATTGTTTTTCAAAATTGGTAAATACTTCTTTATTAGCTTCAACACGCAGACCAAAAAATAATAACACCCTGAAGTTGTATTTTAGAGTAAATATACAAACCATTCATCGTAATCTGAACTTTTCATCTTCTATATCGAACTTAACTATTTATTAATTGATACTGTAATATTAAACGATAATAAATAATGCTAATCCATTTTGGTGAACTTCAAAGGAGATGATACTATACCTCGATCATTCACATCTACCAAATAATCTGACCAGTATTACGGAGCTAGTGTAATCTATGAAATTAGATGATATATTTGGCATACAGTTTTCTCAAGCTTGTCACACCACCGCTAGTGCGTACAGTGCGTTCTCGTATCAACCTATTTCCCTTGTAAACACTGTTCGTTCTTTTTAAAATCATTCTACTAATCATCGAATTACACATTTTGTCGATAATTTCTAGAAAGCCTGGATTACTAATCTGTAAAGCATTTTAATTTTTTTTTTTTTACCCGTATCGCCATCATGGATTTGATGAACCCACAATGAAAAGAATCTGTAGATATATCTGAATACAGTGAAAAAAGAAAAAAAAGTATGAAGTTGGATCATACTCAATCTAAATAAGGAGTGGAGCGAGGTTTACCCGCCGTCTTGATGAGATAAGACAAACATACATGTATTTTCAGACTGGTATAATAAATATTATAGTTTCGTGTCGAGTAAAAATAGGAGAAACTGTTATAATTGCTTTTCTCAATAAATATACTCAGCCATCAGTTATACCAATTCCCGAAGAGAATGAAATAAGTTCCACGCCCGTGTATTAGAGAAAGAACTTTTTCTCTATACAAGAGAGAGAGGGGGGGGGGAGAGAGAGAGAGAGAGAGAGAGAGGGAGGGAGAGAGAGAGAGAGAGAGAGAGAGAGAGAGAGACATTGGGGGGGGGGGGGGGTAGCAGGGTGTAAAAAATGATGATGAAAGCTTCTCTACAACTCAATGATGATTGATCACACATGTATTCAGACTATGGCAAGTAACTATAACCAGCACCAAAACCAACAAATATGGTACAAATTTAATGTACTGATATGGGGATTTTATATTGAAATTTCCACAGAAGACCAATGTAGGAATTTCTTTTAAAGGGCATCGGATTTATTTTGGCGTACAAATGACTTTATCACATTTTCCTCTTTTTTTAAAATCTCTCTGTAAAATACAAAACTCTTATAATTTGCAATGAAATATAATTACCCAGGTAACTTTGGCAGCTCCGATTAACATTTAAATTTCATTGACATTGTCATTCTGAAGAAGAAAAAATATAATCGGAAACTTTAAGCAATACGAAAATTTAACATAATTAAACTCATAACTAAAAAAAAGAAAAAAAAAAGATGTACATAAACAAAATTATAAAAATGAAATGAACTTTCGGCATTATCAAATCGTGAAATGCAAGCTGACCCGAAATTCAGCAACGGTTTTCTTGATATTGTATTGATGAAAATTGCATAACTTTGCCTATAACATACATAGAATAAAGTCATAAAACCGTTTCTAAGTAGAATATTTTTGAAACTGATAATCAAAACTACAGTATAATGTAAACTGCACAACACTACCGGTATGATCTAGCCTTCCAACTATAAGCAAAGGCCCTTACTGAATTATATAAAGCCTGTGTACAGTGAAGTTTTTCTTTACAATAACAACTAGCATTTTTACAACTATATTTTTTTTAAAGTTTATAATACAATACATACAGAATAAGATTGCTCATTTACACAGAGAAATAAGTGCATTTTACCATAAACATAACCGCATAGAGAAAATCTCCAAGAGTTGACATTTGGGGCGCGCGTGAAGGTTTTTTAGTAAAGGGTTTTGTGCAATGACTATCGTGCTTTAGCAGCACGATATCGGTCACATTTCTCACAACCGTATGCATACGACAGTAACCATGGAAACTGATTTCTAATTGTCAGGATACTGTAGTCTAATGATGTCTGATAATTTGAGCAGTAACACGAAAGAATGGTAATGAGATGCTTTAACGTGATAATCTAGGTCACTAGCTACATCAGACAAGGGCTTTCACCTTATGATGTGCGTGTGGACGAACAAAATGATGTGTAATTCTTCTCCCTTGAGTTCAGAAAGTAAGTCGAGGAAGACTCCACGAATGAATTTAAATGGCACAGATCCGTACATTATTTAAAAAGGTCTATTCCTTGAATTCCATTGAATATCTGAGATATTAACATTAACGAGGTGGTAATATTCTGCTCTTCTTCAAAATTAATATTTATCTTAACTTCTTTGCACATTTCTTGGACATGTATACCACCCCACTGAAAAGTCTTGGTAAAACACAAAGGAGAAAATAAAGCTGCACATCGTCAAGAGGGCTAGTTCATGACTCTACACATGGGGTTTAGAGGAGGTGCCTGAATGGAGTGTTTTATTTTTGTAGTAACGTTTGTTTACCGTAAAGGAAAAGAGGGAAAATGGGAGATGTATAGAATGAAAGGAATAAAAGGGGGATATGGATATGGATTTTGACGAAGTGAGTAAAAGGCAACATTTGCTTGAATCTGTATATTGATCTTATGAGATTGGTCTCATTTTAATGAAAACAGATAACGAAGAAAAGTCATGAGAAGGTGATTTATCTATTTACCTATTTTTCATTCATTTGGCAAATTGACACACAGGTTAGATTACAGACTTTGCATAAAGTTGTATAATTCAAGTCCAAATCTTATCAATCTTTTCAAACATGCTTGTCGTGATACATTACAGTGGTGGATGTAGAATTAAAGGGTTGAAGGAGGAGCCATGCAGCTATCCCTTTTTTAAAGCTCCCATAAGCCTGTGAATGATTACATCATTTTATAAGTGGAATTGAAGATGGTCGTAGAAGAGCGGAGGTGAAGTACTCCCCTCTATGCCAACCACCCTGGATCCGCCAACGCAGTTAACTAAGGGACAATACATATAATTTTGTTAATCTCTGGGCCTACTTGATTTAGATAGTCATTGCACACGCATTTACACGATGGCTAGAAAACAAGGAATGAAAGAGGTCGAATTAGAGGGATAGTCCGAAGCAGAATGTGTTGAACGGTGTACAGTTTCGGCATTTGCAACTCTTGGCGTTCCGATAGGTGTAGGTCCTGTTCACACCTGGATCACAATCGTCAAGTTCTATCGTGGCAAGCTGGACTTGGTGGTATGAACACATCTCGTGGTGCGAAGACTTGAACGGAAATTCTAACTCGGGGACCTGCAGTTTGGAGAAATAGAGAGAGAGAGAGAGAGAGAGAGAGAGAGAGAGAGGAGCAAAAATAGGGGTATAAGAGAAAGATTGCAGATTTCAATACAGGTATATACAGAAAAACGATGGAAAAGAGGGAGGGAGAGAGAAACAGAGAGAGAAAGATATTAAAATAATTTTAATCTTTTCAGTACTTAGAAGCATAGTCCTGGGCATATTATATTACAAAACAAATCACCGAATCATAACACTTTTTTGTGTGTGAATAACTCGCTAATAACATGTAGTCATAATGTGTAGATCACTTTACCTTCAAATTCTATTTATATCATTCCATTAATAAAATAAAAGATAAACTGATTTTGGCATGGAATGGGACGAGGTTTACCATTATATATGACAATAACATCTTTGTTTTGTGTACAAATATTGATATTTCATGATGCTTTCTGAAAATCGATGTAATTATTGCTCGCACAGAATACTACAGGTTTACATCAGTTAACAGAAAAACGACGCGTGTGTGAGTTTATATGATTTTATTTAAAAAAGGATCTGTATACGTGTGCTAATTCAGAGTTGTTTGTGTCTCCTTTCTATCTAGACATTGGTACATGTAGAAGATGAATTAGGTAGAACACTTTACGTATATCAATGGTAAAATTAAATGTCGCTGGATTTAAGAGTCTGACAAAGGATTTCACTTTTATTGCAATGAAATTCTAATATTCTAAAGTCAGTATTGTGGTGCGATTCAGCGTAATACCGCCGCCGGTATCGGGGGAAACGTGACGAAAACAAACAGCCACACTTTCATAATGATAGAACATTGGGATTTTTTTCTAGTCAACAGCGCATCGATTCCCCCTTAGCTATTGGCTTTCGACATTTGAAGAGTATCCTGTCAAAAATGATAACAAAACAATCTAGGAGAAACATTGCTGCCTTCCTCTTTTGGACCTAGTTTTCTCTGAAAGGGAAGTGTCAGAGTGTTCCGTATTCAGTGATCATCAATAACCATTCATCGATCTGTCCCACATGAATCAGAATGAATTTTCCTATAAATAAATCAATGAATTAGGAGCGCTCTTTCCAAAAAGGGTGTGAGACTTGAACATTTTATGTCACAGGTGTGTTCCCCATCTCTGTCGAAAATTGAGCTCTTTCGGCTGTATGAACAAAATCAAAGGGGTCCGGGTCATTACCAATCAGAGATATATTTGTGTGTGCATTTAAGAATTGTCACTTAAAAGAGAGCAGTTTAGATATTGTTTTGTTTTTGTCGTTGGTTGAGAAACTACCCCATTAACGAAAATGAAAAAGGTTCAAAGTGTTTTCATGCAATAACATAACTGTGACAGCAGGTTTATCACTGTGCTCTATAATCCTTACTTTTTCTTGATGCAGCTGTTTACAAGAGATTACAGTGAATTATTTACATCTTTACGAAGGATGTACCCGATATGTAAGCTGCTACTGTATAATGTCTTTTGGCAAGACATTGATCTACAGATGCCACTCTCCACCCAGGTGTTGAATAGATACCCGGTAGGATGCGAAAGATAATGGGCTTAGATTAGCAAGTGTGCGCTTGTAAAAATGACGCCCGGCAGGAATGCTCCCCAGGGAGTGGAGAATGTGCATGCATTGTGTGCGGGTAAGCCTGAATCCGATACCCGGGGTAATAATATATATATCTTTAAAGCACTTTGAGAGGGCCTTCGGTCCTGAAAGGCGCTTTATATAAGAACTAGCTATTGTTATTATGAAAATGCCCCTTGTAATATTTGGCTTTTATAGGCAAGCATCGAACTGGGAAGGCTAAACTCCCATTTAGCTGACCAGGCTCCCCAAGGGAATGACACCCAGGCTTACATCCCAAAGGGCTGTAAAGGGGGAAAACCCTGTTTCAACCTTAGGAGTAAGTGGCTACGGCCCCTTGTAATATTTGTCTTTTATAAGCAAGCATCAAACTGGGAAGGCTAAACCCCTATTTAGCAGGCCAGGATCCCCAAGGGAATGACACCAAGGCTTACATCACAAAGGGCTGTAAAGGGGGAAAACCCTATTTCAACCTTAGGAGTAAGTGGCTACGGCCACTGGTAATATTGTTTTTATAGGCAAGCATCGAACTGGGAAGGCTTAACTCCTATTTAGCTGGGCAGACTCCCCTAAGGGGATGATAACTATAGGCTTACATCCCAAAGGGCTGTGAAGGGGAAAACCCTGTTTCAGTATAAAGATTAAATGGCTACGGTCCCTTGTAATATTTGGCTTAATTATGTAGACCACCATCAATAGGCTAAACTCCTGTTTATACAGCCAGGGTCTCTAAGGGGTTGACACCCTGACAAATGACAATATATATATATATATATATATATATACATATATTATTTTTTTATATTTTTAATATTATTTTCATAATATTGTTATTGTTATTATTATTATTATTATTATTATTATTATTATTTATTATTATTATTATTATTATTATTATTATTATTATTATTATTATTATTATTATTATTATTATTATTATCATTATTATTATTATTATTATCATTATTATTACTATCATTATTATTATGTCATCCCCCTTTTTTTTTGGGGGGGGGGGGGGCTTCCTTTTCAAAGAATATTATTTACACTTAGTATTACCTCGTATGTATCGCACCTCCCAAAACAGGCATCTAAAACAAGATTTTGTGGCCGACATCCGGGTTTTTCTGCCTTGTATTGTAAGTATTGCCTGACGTGACAGCCCAAACGACCATTTGCTTCCACCCTGGTAGGCCATATTGTGATGTAGAGTACCAGCACTGTGAGGACTAGCGATGTCACCATAGGATGTAGGCGGTATGACGTCATTGTCGTAGTTAGTGTTTTTGTTGATTTTGTCCTCGACTTCATTCTGTGATCTAGTGAGAAGTACAAATAAGAAACGGTGGAATATATCGTTATATCTTTAATCAATCCGAATTCCCGGTTGTTGAATCCATACCCTAAAATCGCATTTCTCAGCCGTTGTTCTTTCTTTTATAATCTATATTATTGATACTTGCATACTTATTGATAACTTTTGTCATTATTTTGTACAGAGGTATAATAGCCTTTTCATCACTGTGTTTTAAATGATTTGTTGTCCAATTAGTAGCTGTGTTGATGAATCTTTATATCACGTATAAGAAAAACAACAAATAACCGTTTTGCAGTTAAACCTGCTTCATGTTCCCGTCAGGTTTTACAGATATGTCACGGCTGAGAGATAAAGTTAATGATTATTACAGTGATAAACACAAGTGTGATGAGGCAATTCGTAATCTTTAACCCGGCTAAAGACGGACGTTGGAGGCACTTCCAAAGGTTATGAGAATTAGGACAGCCTTCCCACGTCGAAGAAAATTGCACTTAGAGAGATACATACATTCACACACACACAACAAACACACACACACACACACGCACACACGCACGCAAACAACGCACGCACGCACGCACACATACAACTGATTTGCACCACGTTCTTTCATAAAAAATCATTGAACAATTTGGAAATGCCATTTAAACTTAGCGAATAGGAAAATTACTAAAAAGCTCGATTATATGGTTTGCAATTTGTATACTCTTACCCCTATATCTTAGTCGTTTGACTAATTAATTGTAACGCTGTCTATTAAGTGAGCCACCAGGGAGACCTACGGCTTTATGTGCTATCAGAGGGACTTGGTAATGATGATTAATGCCTTCCATTCCAATAGGCGCTAGCGCATCAACTTTGTTTCGAACCGGGGACCTCCCGGTTATGAGACCACTGCTCGTTATCTAGGCCTCACCACTTCACCTAAAGTGACATTTTGGACAATTATCATGGAGAAAGAAAATATCTGAAAAACACTATTGTATAGAAGTGTAAAGTTTGTTACATTCGGATTATAATGATTCGTTGATAAAGAATACCGAAAACACGGTGCTGAAGAGGCAAATACATTCGTACCAATGGGATATCTCGATAACGCGCTTTATAGCTTCTGCCTTGCTAGTAAAAGTACAATAGGTCAGATAATAAATCTTTACGAGTATGACCTATCTAATTGAGATCTTTATTGATTACAATAACAACTTAATATGTACTTCTGAAAGTAAAGCTGCGTTGATGATCATTTTGTTCATATTGAGAGTACACGTGCGTTATCAAAACAATAAATGCTGAATTTTCTTTTCACCCAAAAAGGGCCTCGCATTAGGAAGTGTTTGTTGCAAAGTGCCAGACTGATTAATATAGCTTGTTTTCCTAGCCTTATTCCCGACATTTTGAACTCCCAGGTCATTCTCGTTTACTGTTCTCTAATGGGTAAGAAAAGAAGAATTAAAGGGTTTGATCCTCCCGTTTCAAAAAGACCAAAAACCCTTTTTCTCTAAAAACGATATTGAATTGGTAGTGTTCACGTTGTTATCCTTATAATCATAAGAAAATAATATAAAATAATTTGTTTAACGTTAATAATGTTAATTCTAGCATATCGGCGTACTGGCATAATCAATACCAGCGAATTGTGTGTTATGGCAGAATGTTCACTTTCACGAATCAAAATGTTTTGAAGCGAGTGAAGCGAGCTTCTGCTGAATTAATGACTTGTTATTATAGTTACATCACTGTTGGTATATCTTTCATCAATAATTGTATAACAACAAAGGTAATTTTGTCAATCAAAAATATACTTGATGCCCGGTACTGGTAGCCTTAAAATTCTCGGAGGTATACACCCCTATTTTTTCATGGAAGGTTTATATCATAAAGCGCAACCCTCCTCTCTATTCTCTCTTTGCTCTCTCTCTCCCTCTCTCTCTCTCTCTTTCTCATTCTCTTTCTCCTCTCTTTCCACTTCTCTGTATTTTTGATACCCTATCTGCTTATCCCAACCGCTTGATTAAGCTCTCTTCTGTATACATATAATATCACATACTAAGAGTCATCAGTGTTTTATTTCATTGTCATTTTACCTATCCGAACTTGGCCGCATAATCAATCTCCTCTTGAATATCTTAGAGAAAGACTCGAGATACCTGAAGTGCGTAAGGACAGCTCAGCACCTAGTTACAGCCAAACACAGACATGCAAAAATATACTGAGATATAGCCAAAAAGGGTAAAGGAAGAGGGTCTTTAGGGCGTATGGATTGAGTTTCATCTTCTTAAATCCTCTCCTTCAGCAGTTCAAAATGGCAAGGATTTAACCGAACATCAAATTATTGAGCCGTCTGTTGTGAGGGAATCACGCGGATGTAAGTCTTTTCGTCACACTGAGAAAGTTCGTCACACTGAAAAAGCAGATGTTAAAAAAGTATATACCCATTTTTTTTAATAAGTTTCTCTCTTTGACAAATTAAATACAGCGTTATAGTAGCAGCAGCAGTGGTGGAAGTAGTAGTAGTAGGAGTAATAGTAGTAATGTAAATAACCACTTTAGTGGGAGTATCTGCTATAAATAGCAGACCAGCAGGAACGGAATTTGTTGACTTTATCTGGTCAATAAAATCTCTGCCTTCTGTGGTAAGAGCGTGTAGATTCTTAAACGCCTAACGCGATTCATTATCTCCATTAAATCTTCAAACTCGGAACCAACCTAAAGTGACTAGTAAGAGAGAGAGAGAGAAAGAGAGAGAGAGAGAGAGAGAGATGGAAAAGAAAGAGAGCATGGAGAAAGAGAGACAGAGAGAGACAGAGAGAGAAAGAGAGAGACAGAGAGAGAGAGAGACAGAGAGAGAGACAGGGGAAATTAATGTACATGCATAGAGAAAGAGAGACCGAAAATGCAGAAAGGGAGGAAGAAGACATCCCGACTATCGGGACTGAGAGAAGATTCAAATAAACAATGAAACAAAGTTCATCTCTTATAAATTATATTTAGTTCATTCATATCCTTGCCTCGTTCATAATTACCAGCTACACTGTAGGTACAAGCAAAAACACCACTTTTGTAGCAAAATGTTAACTTAATAACGGTAGAGCTTCCGTCAAACAAGTTTGCTTTTATTTTGCAATCAATGCACATGAATTGTTGTTCAATTGAGTTCGTTAGTTGTGAGTTTATACGAACAGGAAAGAAAAGGAAATGAATATTGATGAACACACTATACTACGTCGTAAGCTCATGTCTTTTTCTCTGTCTAGTACTTTGAGACTCACTTGAATCAAAGATCATTCATTTTGGAGTACTGCAATGTACTTTGCCTGAAGCAATTATTGAATGGGCTTGTTCTTACGCTTTCAAAATAATTGTACCATCCACTGCTATCCGGAAGTACAATCAGTACATTTCTAACAACACAAGTATTTTGATGAATCACAAAATAACGACGGATACGATAGTTGATTATTTGATTTGAATCAAGTTACTTCTAAGTTACTTATCTGAATTCTCTATTTTAAGAAAGAATAAGAAATCTATATTGTAAATGATTAACCACAGTGGGACACAACTAAAAGCATGACTTGTGCAATGAATATGCTAACATTTCTATCGCACATGCATCTCAAAGTGAAGTTGTTATAGGCTATGTCGATAGTTTCACTGTTCAAAAAGGGATCGAATAAAGGACCTATCGTTGCATTAACTAAAGATAAGAAACGAAATAGAGAGAGAGAGAGAGAGAGAGGGAGAGAGAGAGAGAGAGAGAGAGAGAGAGAGAGAGGAGGGGGAGTGAGAGAGAGAGGGGGGAGTGAGAGAAAGAAAGACCTTCATACTGGAAAAAAGGAAGTATAAAAAACGTATTTATATGCATTCTTTTTGTTTGAATTATTAACATGTTTTTGTAGCAGCATGCCATCACATTGTTCAAGTGATCACGTTGTGACGAGATGCCTGCACTTTTCGCCTACGAAAGCGCGACTTCAAAGTCTCATCGTAATACTTCTTAGGATATTTCTTGAAGATCAATTGAATATGCCTCGGGGAATGATTTGCAATTTGCAATTTACTTAGAAAGGAATTAGCCAGCCATGCAGTAAACCAAAGTCGCCGTCTGAAACGTTCTGCGTGAGGTAGATGCTCTTTTTGACAAGCCATTAATTTTTAAATCAATTTATTCATTTATCATACGTACCCCTATCTCTCCCTCACACACGCACACACACACACACAACTTCGTATCTGATTCCACACATAACCACCATAAAGTTTAACTTTTTTACCCTCACCAACCCTCTTTTTATCTGATCAATTTCGATATTCACCTCTCTTCCCTTCTCTCTCTCTCTCTCTCTCTCTCTCTCTCTCTATTTTCTCCCTCCCCCTCTCTTTCACACCCACATTCGTATAATCTCCCTCTTTTCGTTTACTATTTCTCTTTCTCTCGCTCCCCTTTCACTCAGTCTCGTGCAACACACACACCCACACTTACTTGCGCGCCCACATCCCCAAGCCCACACGCCTTTCCACCGGCCATCCTACAAATACAAAACACACACAGACACATACATTTTTCCTTTATTCTCTCTCTCTCTCTCTCTCTCTCCCCTCCCATTTATGTCTCTTTCTCTTCTGTTTCTCTTTCCGTTTCTCAATCGCATACCAGCCCACGAGAACCCCCTCCATTAATCCTCGCATGTGTTCTTCTAATCACTATCTTCCCTCTCTGGTTACATGTTGAGTTACGAATAGAAGCGTAATCCATACTATATATTAAGAGCTATCATCTATATCGTAGGCATCCTGTTTCTCTTCCCATTTCTAATCCTGACTGAAATACAAATATTGATAGTTTTATGTACAGTTCATACTTTTTGTTATCCTTTGAGACATGTTTAATGAAACTAATTCGCTTTTCCTTAAAGATACCAAAATCAGCAAATGAGCAAACGAGGGTAGGTGGCTGTACATGTAGCTCAGCCGCCATAATAAGGCGCTAAAGCATTCTTT